GTATTTAGAAACTTCACTGGTGAAATGAGTTTACAGAAAAGTATGAGACAAATTCTTCATTCTGAGGATATCAACTTTCTTGCTGCACTGCAGTCCTCCACAATAACAATACCAGCAGAATCACATTAACAATAAAAAGCATTAGTTACTCCTAAGGCTTTTTAGCCATGAGGAAACAACATGTTGCAGCTACCTTCAGCTATCACTGACTCTACTTTAAAAATTAGAATACTTAAAGAAACAGACATTAAGACATACATCAGGAATGCCAGATTTCCATTTGTGCCTCTAATCCTTGAAGAAACTGTTCATGCCAAATGGAGAAAAGCTACTAACGTTTAAAAAATACAACTGTATACAGACAAAATATACTTTTGCTATAGCAACCATTTTTACAAAGTGAAACTGTATGCCCTCACTCAACAATACAGTAATGTATAAGTGATGGTTCGAATGTCACAGTTTATGTTTTATGTATTCCCTCTTAGCTACAGCCGCAACATTATAGAGCAACATGACAGTGAGGTTTAAGGTTGAAAACATCTCAGGTGGAAGATAGAAAAAAAAGCAAGATTTTGAAAAAAATAAGAGTAGATGAATGTCCCAAAACAGAAAGGTCATGACATCCAGTCCATTCCTGACGCATGCTTTAACAAAATAAAACATATTGAACTTTCATCTTAGTCTCTTTGAGCTTTGTAAACTTTATATTGCAAGGCATCTGCATACACTGATTTACATCTGTTCTACAGGTTTATTGGTCTGAATACTTTATTTCATATTCTTTGCATGCTTTGTTTTTACATTAGTAAAATGTGATAAATTAAAGACTGCGATGTTACTATAAAATCTAAACATCAATAAATGTCATTTCACTCACCAGTATAACCTCTAGTGCAGGTAAAATGCCCATGTTTGACAAAGTCTTGAAAAAAGCATCTCTGTTTTGAGGTTGTAATGTTTGTGAAAACGCACAGAACTCCTTTAAAAAGTTTACCTGAAAGACCAAAAACATAATTATTTCAACCACAAAAAAAAAAAAAAAAAAACATCTGCCTGATTTGCATTACAATTCATTTTTGGCATACCAGTTCTTGTCTTTTGTCATCATCTGTAGCCTCATCTGTTAGCTGTGCAAAGAGGTCTGTCAGGAACTTCTCATCATCCTGACATTAACAGAGCAGAGTTTATGAAGTGGTGAGTAGCAAGTAGATAATATGATCACATCACTTTCTCCTAAGACAGCCCAACAAGCTAAATGTTTTTTTCTTTACTTTTTGATCATGTGAAATTTATCAGAAGATAATGTGAGGTTTAAAATGTTTGTACAACACTGTGATATTAACCAATATCACTTTGGCTAAAGTGATATTAACCAAAGAATTCAACCTGTTTAAACAGTAAAACTTTAATTTAGCTTTATGCTAAAAGGTCATATGCACTATGTCTCTGAGTCAATAGTGAATGTTTATATGTGTTTTAGTTTGCCTCTAGCACAGCCACACTGATTTACACAACACCTCTCTATCTCTATGGAGACAGCAATACATAAACACTAGTGAGTTGACATGGTGCAAAAACACAAAGGTCATTTGATCATAAAACTCAGACGACTTCACACTGAGGAAAGCATAACAAATTTGTGTGTATTCTACAAGTATTTAAACGTTTGTGTCTCACCTGTAGCATGCCCACTATCTCCACCTTGTTGAAGAAGATGAAGGAGTGCAGGGTGGACAGCATGTTTTCCTCAAATACAGAGGGCGTGGGCAGCACCATGTCCTGAATGTACTGCACGCGATATGTCTGGTGTATTTTCTGACGCAGTTCAGGATCGGAGATGGGGATCACCTCCTTAAAACGCGCCGTCTTAGTCAGAAACTCTCGATGCCGCCGTGGCTGCGGCAGTGCTGGGTCGAATTCTAGACAGCCGATGACGTCCATGATGCACTCGTCAGAAAACATCACCTCGAAGAGTGCGGTGCGATTTAGCAGGAAGATGCCTTTAATTATTTCGTACAGTTGGTGCAGTCCTTCTCGGTTCTCCAAGTCCTCACACACACGAAACAGTTCCAGAAGCTTGCGAATGTAGCCTTCATTCTCCACTGCCAAAGCCAGTTTCTCACGCCGCAGCGGCGACGGGAGTGAGGAGGCCACCAGCTCAGCGAGGTCCTCCAGGCGGTTTAGTTCACATGGCGGCAGCTCCAAACCTGGGGAAGACATGTCATCGAAGCGCTCTTCCTCAGACTCATCCACGACTTCCTGCGTGATGTCCACTGAAGGATCCTTTCCCTGCACCTTGATGATGAGACAAACAGATGAGCAACAGATATTAGAGTTACATAAACAGTGTATTACATTTCAACCAATTACAAATAATATCAAGACATTGATAAATACATTCACTAGGACCTTTGATAAATTTGGTAGTTTTTAACTAAAAAGTAAAAGAGAGAAGAAAATCGTGCACATTTAATCGTGTATGCGTAACCTTTCATATTTTTGTTATATTGATCATTAAACTATATGCTCTTTGTTTGTAGACCAAGAATGGTTGAATTTCTTAGTTTTGATGCATTGTTTTGAACATGGAAAAAATGAAGACTAAATATTGCAGTGGCGATATGCAATGACAACATCAGCTGCAACATCTCCCTATTTTCTGCTTGCCTCTCTTTCTCAGAAATGCTTCCTCCAATCTGTGACCTTTACCACTTTGGGCAATGTCATTTGTGTGTTCTGAAAATCTTCTGCATGAGACTGTCAAACTGGCTAAATATTATTTTAACATGATAAAAGCAAGTACATCACATTTAGAATGTACTAGCCAACATTTTTTCCACTTCCAACTGTCCTTATAGATATGCATATTACACAAGTAATGATATATTAGTGATGAATTGAGCAGCATCAGAATTTTTTTTTTCAAAACTGGCTGATCTTAATTTCCGCTTGACTTATTAGTGTATATCCACGACACACAATGACAGAAGAGACAAAAAATAGTTACCTGACATATTTTCTCCCAGATTTCATCACAGCCAGCCTTCTCCTGAAAGCTGAGTGCTAGATCATAGTTCTCAGCCTCTGACCATACTATCAATGTGTCCTTTTTAAAAGAAAAACAACTAAAATTTACGATCTGGACACATCAGGAAAGAACATTTCTTTTTTAACCAAGTACTGTGTCGTGTACTGACCTGCTGTTTCTGGTACGCTGTATTTGGGTTGATTTTGGACTCCAATAGTAGTGAGCCTGACAGATTATAAAGGTGACAGATATGAGGTGAAAAAGTGCAACAAACCAAAAGAGCTACTTTTAAGAAATACTGTTACTGTACAGAAACAAAGTACTTTATTAATCCCAGAAAGAGAAATCTCAAAGTTGTAAAATCAGAATCAAAACCACACTGTACAATTAACATAAAACAATGACCAAAAAGGTAAACATTTGTACAGGAGGTTATGTAGAATCTGGGAATTTTTTTAATTCACCCTTCAGTTGTTCACTTACCATCACTCTCTGCTCGAACCAGGAGAGAAGTGCCTTTTAACCGCTCCACATAGCATGAGGAGACATGTCCGGTCCCACGGTCATCCCACTGTCTGTCCTCGTTGAGGGTATAGACTTTGACTCTCCTACGAGTGTCCGTCATCTTGGCAGGTGATCGTAACCGGTGTTCCCTTCCCCGAACTTCTTTGGGTCTCACAGGGGGGCTTCCTCACCTAGTAACACAACTGCAGATTAACCCCTAACACCTGTCCACTTCTGAAGTGCCGAAAGTCTTTTAAAAGGGGTTGATCTTTACTCAAAGATAAAGAGGGTTTCCGCAGCCTTCTCAGAAGGATTGTGCATTTACAAGTTTATTTATTTATTTTTTGTTTTCCCAAGCCGAGTCGAAACTTATCTCACCAAGGATACAGGCAGTGCGCCTGGCAGAAACGGCACAGAAACCATTGTGGCAAGGTAACGACAGTATAATTAACTGAACGAAGAACAACTGACGTTTTCGTCTGTTTTCTACAAAATACGATGGAAAGACATAACAAACTGTACTCCTATAGCTGAAATAGACACATTTAAAATAAATCCAGCTCGACAAAAACTGGTTTCCTCTCAGTACAGTTTGTACGCTTGCAGGTAATGTTAGCTAACTCGTACGCTCGCTGCCTACGCTCTACATATTCACAATAGAGCTACAGTCTAAAGCAAACTCACCGCTGTTCAACACCGATAACATTATTTTTTTACTCGCGATCAACAAGCACTGCTTAAATACCAAACAGTGTCTCCGCGTTTCTTTACATATTACGCCAGCTAACTAGCATTAGCTGGTGTCTCTTCCCCAAGTATTCCGCCATGTTCTGGCTCGGGGCCGCGGAGAGACCTCTCTCTCATTTCTAATACTCAGACATCCCCCAAAATTGTGCAGACTAACAAAGTGGAGCAGAATAATTAATCCAAAACAGCCCTTTACATTATACTGTTATTTGCCATTCATTTCAGACGTCTTGCTCAGGTAATTGCTAAGTGCCCCCCTTGAGTTTTCAGCCATCTTGGGTCCCTTCACAGGCAGTACGGGGTTTCCGACACTGCAACAACAGGGCAGCCCGCCACATTTAAAGAGGCAGTAGCAGGACAAAAAAAAAAAAAAAAAAAGAAATGAAAAACGTTTTCTACCATCGATTTCTTTTCCCATAAAAATATTTCGTATGACCATTCGAAAATATTTTTTTGAGTCTTAGCTTCTCTGGCTTTGGAGCAGTTATAATTCTTCCTAAATCACAATGGTAAAATTTTAACTTTTAGAAAAATAAAATCTGTTAGAAATGTAAAAGCAGCAACAGAAATGCACTTACCATGATAGGTCACATATGGGTTGTACAGTATCAAGCTATAATATCAATTTAATCATAATTCTTTCATTCAACTACCATCACAAGACAATTTTGCAAAAGATGAGCTGTGGTACAATAATTGCAGATTAAATAGACAGAAGTCAGAAAACAGCTGTTTATTTTGTTTAACTCAAAGATAAGAGACAAGAGTTTAAAAAGTCAGACATTTACATAAAAGAAGAGATTAAAAAAACAATTTCTACCATAATGGCAATAAAAACTGAAATGAGAAATAATAACCTTATGAATGTTTTCACTTCACTCTAATTCAGACATAAATCAGCTGCATATAAAGCCAGCAGTGAATCCAGAAACAAACCATCTAACCATAATGTAAAACACTTCCAAAGGCAGGTACTGAAGAGAGAAGTTCATTCCTGCAGCCATTACCCCAATTCTCAATGTGTGACAAATTGGAAATGTATGTAATGGAATGACAAAAAATATCCTAGGCATAGCAAATTGTCAATATAAAGCCCTGAAATGTTTTTATCAACCCACCACATTTTCCAATGTATACACAATTTACAATAAACCCCTCGCCAGCCCAAGGGTGTTGTCCTTGTACACATATCTGAAGCCCTCTGCAGTACAGGAGTTTAAAATACTTGCAGATGCATGTAGAAGGACAACATGTCAAACATGCTTTTACTTTGCTGCTTGCTGAGCCTGGCGCCGCAGCAGGACATATATCTTCTCTTTAATCCAGTCTTTGTTGTAAGGTTGGTATGTCTGCGTGTCAGCTCTGTACCTGTATTAAAAACAAAATGTTTTTTTTTTATAGAGAGCAATCAACATCCCACAAAAAAAAAAAAAAAAAACATAGTCTGTCCTTCTAGTAAGCCATTCTTACACAAGACAGCTCAGATCTGCCAAGTCATCGATGAAGTCAAACAGCTGACTAATGTCGTAAGTAATGGATGGACTGTTTGGATTCATCCTCTTCAGATGCTCTTCATACATTTTGCAAACACCTGGAAGACAAGGCGCAATAGTTTTGAACAGCAAGATATGGAAGAAAAATATAATAGCGTGCCAATGAAAACTAAAGGAAAATAGTAATTGTGTCCTGATGTCTGTTGATATTGAGTAAATTAAAATCTTCTTTGAAGATGTTGTTAAAAATGTATTGTGGAAAAACCTCTACAGCCATGATGAACTTGGTTTCCGTAGTACTGAAAACATTGAGCACTAAAAACATATTTTTTGGTTTATTTAAATTTAATCCGATATATTTTATCCTCTTTGCATACCAAACATCATTAAATCTGGGCCACAGAAAATATTTGTGGTTATTTAAAAATATGTTTATTGTCGCTTTAAAATGCTGCAATATTTAGTAATATTGAGAGTAATTTTTTGTATGAAAAAGAAAAGTGAGTCAGTAAATGTGTATGTACGATTCTGTACCATGACAAACTGTCAGTATTGCTGAGCAGAAAACAACAAATCACGTACAATTTCAGTACATCCAGATGTGGCGTTAGAAAAACTGGATGACTTTTTTTAGGCTCATAAAGCCAAAAGACATACATTTCCTGTAGTACGTTCAATTGAGGCTGGTCTACTTTCAAACAGAAGTGAAATATAAAAGGCTTTGCGTGAAACCAGACTGAGACTTACACAAAAAGAGAGTCTCATCCGTGCATTCAGATTCTTCAATAAAATTATAAACAGGTCTCCATCTCTTAGTAGACAGTAAACAGGTCAAATGCATTATACATCAATAGATTTTTATAATTTGGTCTCACAAAACCAAACACTAATCTCAAATATTTAGTTAATGAGAGGCAAGTCAGAGTTTCTTTGAATCTGTATGTTTAATCAAACCTCTTGTCTTTCGCTCTACAGATGCTTGGTTAAAACGTCGGTGAAAACTGTGTGTTGCTACAGTTCCCTTCTATCATTTTATGGCACACCGATTCAGCATTAAATTTCATAACCACATTTGTACAAATAGTTAAACTGAAAAAGACAGAAAAAAAATATATACCTTCCATGCACTCGTTTACCGACTCGTAGTCCGCATATGTGCGGCCCTCTGGTCTCTTGGTCGGCTGGACAAGCAAAATTGTGTGCGACTGAAAAACACAAATTTAAATTTAATAAAAACATAATAATATAGCAACATGCCACAAATGATATAGTCTAAACATGGATTTTATTATTTACTCTAATGCCAAATATAATTATGGAGGGCTCCTGCACAGTCATTTCCAAATATTACGAGTGTAGACTATTTTTGGTGAAAGACAAAACGACAAAACGTCATGTTCTAAATGCATAGAACATTAAACAGTACAACAGACACCAATCCAACAGAAGCATAATTATATGACAAGTATCCAAGCCAGGGGTTAATTTCAAACTTAAATTAACCTTGTAACAGCAAAAAAATAAATAAATTTGACAGAATAAAATTAGTAGCAACTGATAGCGTCGCATCTTGCTAGCTTAGCAGAAACAGAACAACTAGCAGTGTCGCTTATTATCAGTGTTTCTTATATTTTAAACCTCAGTGCACGCAACACTTACCATGTCTGTCGTCACTACAGATCCTCCCAGTTTACGGTGGAAACAAAGAAGGCAAAAACGAATCGCTTAATCTACTTTTCAGATTGCCGAGCAAAGCAAGGACTCGAGAAAAAACACTTGAAGGAACTGACACAAAAGTGTTTCCGGTTATAAAACATGACGGCTTCAAAATAAAAATTTGATTTCAAAATAAAAGTAAAAACTGAAGTTAAACTGGTAAAAATACCTATTTTTTTTGTAGTAACTGGAAACTAGTTAAGCTAAATAAGTTCGTATATAAATTAAAAAGTAAATAATAATGCTTACAATCTTTAATCATTTTCTTCAGAGGAGATTGTTAATATTAATACTATAACAAACTACTCATATAATTTTTTTTAATTATACTAGATCTAAAGACTAATTGCACAAAACTTACTTTTACCAACATATGAACCAACTATTTAAATTATTGTTTGCAGTTTTTAATGCAAGTGTTTGACCCCTTCTTACAAAATTTCCATTAACAGATAATGCATCACTATCACAGATAGACTATCACACCAATTGCAGGAGGATCACATAACACTTTATTTATTGGGCCTACTCACAGTTTTACTGTATGTCAATGACCAACATCACAAAGACATTTGCAAAAGAAAACAAATTAAATGTAAAATCAGGACAAAGATTTGTAAGTACATAATTTATTATGATAAAATCTCATGTTGATTTGACATATAGAATAAGGCAATTTTCTTCAAGTGCCATATGAACAAAATCCTGTCCATCCACATATTCCATTATTAAGTGGGACAGACATATTTAAAACTGAAGGGAAGAACAGAACCTAAAATATAAAAAAGTATTTAGCATACAAGCCAATAACTGGATTTGTAGAACAGCAAGCTTTTCTATTTTGAATGAACAGTTTAATTTCATTTTACTTTTATTATTTTCAGAAACAGTTCTAAAGACTTCAAGAAGCATTTTCATTGGAAAATATCGATTGGAACAATAAAATTGTACGATACTGCTTTGAAAAATATTGTAATTATTTACAATATCTTCAAATTGGTTAAAATAATCTCTACATAACAGTATATATATATTGTATCTTCCAATTCTTTTTCTATTCTGTACGCTGAAGACGTGAGCGCTGAGCCCTTGCCCTTGCAATGCTTCCCAGTGACCCTCTTCTCGACTCCACCCTGGCAGGTGCAGGCCCTCTTGAAATGCCCTCGCACTCCCTCCTGCAAGCTTCCATTGACCTGAAGTTGTTGGCATTGCCATGGCAGCCTCCGTACCAGAACTCCTTGCATTTGCCAGTGCTGTAGTCATACACGAACCGAACCATCCAGTTGTCACATGGACCTTCATCGCGGGGCAGGAGGCAAACATTCCCACCGGATGGATCAGCAGGGCGAGATGGACTCAGCTGTTCAGAAAAAAAAAAAAAACTAATGAAAATTGAGGTTAAGGTTAGAACGCAGAAAGTGGTCTATGTAAATTAACATTGCATACATGTTTTTTTAAATTCTTATATACTTATGTGGGTTTTCACATTTGTTTTCTATTTGTATGTATCATAAGAAGAGGACCAGACTGGAATGAAAAGATAGTTTTTGAGTACATAACAATAACATCAACTGCTCTAGCTGCCAAGAACAACTTGCTAACATCCATCCATTTTCTTACACCCTTATCCCATTGGGGTCAGGAGTGGTCTTGGTGCCTCTCTCCAGCTGTCAATGAGCGAGAGGCGGTGTCACCCTGGTCAGATAGCCAGTCCATTGCAGGGCTAGCATACATTCAAACCTTATAGAGCTCTGCTAATGAGCTAATATTGAAGCCAGGTGTGCTGAAGCAGAGAAACATCTAAAAGTTACAGGACTTTGTCCTTTGAGAACTGGAAGGTGAGGCCATTGATTTAGAGCAATTTTCTTTGTGAATCTTGTGCAGAAACAAATAAAAGCAAAACATCTGTGGAGAATGGTGGAGATGGCTGTTCTTTATGAATTTCACCTCAGTGTGTTAATGTAGGTAATAAATTTCCTTCCTACCTCAGTTGTTTGAAACTCGGGACATCCGGCCCTCCCAACTCCTGGAGCTGGAGTCACTCCATCCAAACAACAGCCATATCTATAAACAATTTCTCTGTTAGAAATGGATAATTTCTTTGGATGTTCTTAACTAGTTTCAAAGCTCAGATGAAGACAGCAGGTTACCTGCTCTGAGCGCAGTCATGTTGTGAGCAGCCCTGTCTCCTGGGTCCAGTTGCAGAGGTGTGGCCATCAGGACAGCAGCCATACAACGACTGAGCACAGTGGGGACCGTACACAGGAGGGTAAGGACCCCGCTCGCTGTATGTGTCTGGCCTTGGAACTAAACCAAGAAAACATGACATCAAACACAATGTACTCATTGTGTTTGATGCCATTGTGTTTGATGCCACCTAAAATGCCACCCAAAATGCCATAGGCTTTTTGTTTTGATTTTGTTTGTGGTCTTCTACATTTGCATATTTGGTCAATATACTATTTATTTGAATTTTCACAAGAGATTAGATCAGAAATGTCAGTGGTTTTGTGTTTTTGTTCGAAAGTTTAGAATGCAACAGAATCAAATAGAAAACCATGTTCACATCTTATTTTCCTGGTAGATCTACCAGCTTCCATGCTAAGAGGTGGAGTGACATTATTACAAACCTGAATGATCTCCTGGTACATGCGGCACAAATCTTCTTGGGCTTTCTCCGGCCTCTGGATTTTGAACACTTGGAACCGCTAAAAAATATTTGAAAAAATTAACACATGAAATAAATACAAAACCAAAGGTTTCAAAAGAGGTTTTTCTCACTTTGTCGTCCTGGACATGGTTGTGTGTTGCATGACTCTACAGAGAGAGGTCTACTAGCTGCTCCACACCGTTCCTCTGGGTAAGGATGGAGATCTGTATCAAAGCAGCCGACCTTCCTCTCTCTTACGCCACCACCACAGCTTCTGGTGCACTGCAAGGACAAAAGACAGAGGATAACAAGGTAGAGATAACAGCAGTAATGATGTGGCGAGGAAGTTTTCCTCTAAACTTACGAGTCCAAACTCTGTCACATGCCAGGAAATGTGCGTGCTACAGGCAGGTCGGCGGCAGGTCTGGACAGAAGCAGGTCTGGCCAGTCCTCTGCAGGCGTGGTCAGCCAGGTGTTCTCCTCTCGCTCCCACACAGACCACCTCCCTTGTCTGCTGCCCTTCCCCACAGGTCACTGAACACTGACAAAGGCAAAACCACATTCCACTGAAATAAGTCCATTTATCTTTTGTCGTCAAATTAGTCAAGATGGTTACAGCATAGACCCTGTAAAACCATCTGTGAATGACTGTTGACAGTTATTGAGAAATAGAAAGCTCTTTCAGCTGAAAGAAAATTTAAAACTGTCAAGAGGATATGCGCAAACAGCATTCTTGTTGGAATTCAGTCATTCAGGCGATATAACCTTAGGAAAAAAAAACCTTACTTTGTACTTCAGTTTTACAACAGTCTATCTTAGGGTGATGGTTTACCAATCCATGCGATAGTTAGACCATAATTTAGAGTAAGAACGAACCCCACTGAAGCTGGAGACACTGTACTCTGCAGCAGCACAAGGGTGTCTGTTGCAAGGCTGCTGACTGACTGGCCTGTGCAGTCGTTGGGCGATGCAGTAGGACTCGTCCACCACTCTGGGGTTTGATGGGTCCTGAACCAAACACTCCACGCTGCGGTACTGCACACCTCCATCACAGGAGGCAGAGCACTCGCTGTACACTCCAGCCCTGTAGATGTATGTAAGCGTCTCTCTTGGACTGCTGTCATAACCCTGTCGTCACATCAAATAAAGTCAGATGAATCGAACAGGTCACTTCAATGGAGCACACTTTGATACTGGAAGCTGAACAATTTTCATTTCATTTCCTAATTTAGTTTTTGTTTTCTTCTCTTTGAATTATTGCCAATATAGATGAGTTAATTAAGGTCACTGTTGTTTTATGATCTCTTTGGGTATTTATACTAGTTGCCATGTAGGTGGCACTGTATTGTCTGAAGTCCAATGAATTGACTTTTATGCAAATTGACAAAATATATAGGTCTAACCAAAACAACTGAATTTGAGTCTTACCCCAGGTGTTTGGTACCCAGGACATCCAGCCATTCCAAACCCTCGAGCTGGTGTCACACCATCTAAACAGCAGCCATATCTGAGGATGAGAAGGACTTTCTGTTATAGAAAACATTTAACAGGTACAAAGCAACTTACTTTAGACAAATACTGGTTTAAATGACAGAATCCAGAAAGCACATTACCTGCTACGAACACAGTCATCTTGTGTACAGCCCTGGTTCCTGGGTCCAGTTGCAGGTGTGTGGCCATCAGGACAGCATCCATACAGTGACTGCACACAAGGTTGACCTAACACAAGAGGGTAGGATGACAATGTCACTGACTGTGGCTGTTCTTAAATCCAAAGTAATCTGCATTGGAAATAACCATTAACTCTATCAATATCAAGAGGAGATTCTGCCATCATTTAGCGGAAAATAAATGTTTAATTTTTTATGAAAGCTATTTAAAAATCAGATACTAATCATAACTTTTAGAATAAGTAAGTAACCAGAAAAAGTTGCTTCTTAGGGGCCCCTGACCAGCTAGTTCCCCGAGGAATACTTGACCTTTCAGAATAATTATTTTGAAAACAAAATTTATACTGCTGAACTTAATATTTCTTTGTAGGTCCACAAATAAAAGAAAAGTTGCAAAATTTTAAAATCTTCAATAAACACGTGATTACTGAAGAGTTAAAAGACCCAACAAGGGTAATTATTGTGATCATAAGGACGAAAAATCTTGTTATTTTAACATCGTAATTTCAACTGTAACCATCTGTGACTGCAAAAAAAGTAAAAAAAAGAAAAACAATTTGTTTCTAAACACAACCATATTAATTAGTTTCTTGTTCCTAACTTGGCTCAGTCAATACTGAAACCTTGTATCAGTATCTACAGGGAAAAAATACTTTCCTTTACAAATTATTTGCTGCCATTTATTTAAGTTTAATTTCACTCAAGTTCAAAGATTTATATTATTTATAATCTGGTGGTTGGTGGTAAATAGGGTTAAACAGAAGAGGTTCTCCAAGTCAAATTTTGCTTAAATTTATGCAGGAAGTAATGAAAAATGTGGTCTTTCTATTTGTTTTTATAGAGAGTTTTGGTCATTGACGGGCAAGAAAGCAGCAACAATAGACACATTTTAATTGCCTGAAAAATATATATTTTACTGATGCGTTAAATAAATCTGACTACACTTTAGCTTTTTTTTTATTGTTTTTGCTTATGAGTTTTTAGTTTACGAATAATTTAGAGACATACAGGCAAAAGACAGAAGTGAAAGGAGATACAGTGTAACAAACCTGATTGTTCCCCTGGAACGTGGGGCACAAACCTTATGGTATCTCTACCAGCCCCTGAGTTCTGGATGCTTGGAACCGCTGGAGAAAAACAAGGCTATAATGGCTGAAAAGCACAAATATTCCAACCAAAACACACCACAGACAACTTTTAGCTCACTTTGTGGTCTGTTACAGGGCTGTGCATTGCATGTTTCAACAGATATGGGTCTGCTGTCAAATCCACATTGATCCTCAGAGAAGGGATTCAGATCTGCATCAAAACAGCCAACCTTCCTCTCCCTCACACCACCTCCACAGCTTCTAGAGCACTGTGGGTTTAAGACGAGTTGTTAATGCTGAAATACTTATGCGGATTAAGTTTTTTTAACAATGCATTTGCAGAGACATTCCTCTTAAACTTACAAGTCCAAACTCTGTCACATGCCAGGAAATGTGTGTGTGACAGGCAGGTCGGCGGCAGGTCTGGACAGAAGCAGGTCTTGCCAGTCCTCTGCAGGCGTGGTCAGCCAGGTGTTCTCCTCTCGCTCCCACACAGACCACCTCCCTCGTCTGCTGCCCTTCCCCACAGGTCACTGAACACTGACAACCAATTACAGATTCAAACTGACCGTCTATGTAGTTACGTTATAACAAAATGTATTTACTACAATGGTGCTTTAATTTGTTATATTCTTAGGTTAAAAACATAAACTTATGTGGAGCTGTGTTTTTGTAGAGAAAAATTTCAAAAGGTCCTCAAATAAAGACCAAATGCAAATGCACACCAGACTTTTCAGGTTTTCATTTATTAAGTGGCTTTTTTGTTTCAAGGCACTGTAAGTGAAAGTCCAAGACTGACAAAGAAAGTACAGCATTAACTTTATTCTAGCTTCTGACACCTATCAAAGGTCCACACTGTGAGATACAAACCACACTGAAGCTGGAGACGCTGAACTCTGCTGCAGCACATGGACGCATGTTGCACGCCTGCTGACTCTGTGGCCTCTGCAGACGCTGTGTGATGCAGTATGACTCATCAACCACGTGGGGGTTTGATGGGTCCTGGACCCAGCACTCCACGCTGCGGTACTGCATGCCTCCGTCGCAGGTGGCAGAGCAGTCCCCATAAACCCCGGCCCTGTAAATGTATGTGCGTGTCTCTCTTGGATGCGGGGAAACAGCAACAGGAGCAGAGGAGTGGACAGAGACTGTGTCGTTATCCAAGCCCATAAACTCTCTATGGTCCAATAGCTGGAAAGAGACAAAATATCAACAGTATGACAAATAAGTTTCGGTGTGAAGTCCTTGAAATGGAAAACTACATAAGTGGGCTTCAAATCTTACCCGACAAACTCCATCAACACAGATGTCAGTGCGCCCCACATAGCATGGGGTCCCATCCACCACTGTGGGCCTGTGGCGGTAGAAGAAGTTTTGTCCCCTTGGTACACAGTTTAGCTCACATGGATTAGAAGCTGGAATATTAAAGGAATAATCAGCAACATGCTGAATCAGAAGCTTTACACACTTTATTCCTGGAATACTGTGTAATTTGAAACAAAACATCGTATACTGTAATCCCCACTATGCTTGTCATCAACATTTCAGTTAAACTTTTACATAGCAGAATATTTATGAAATATTAATCCAACTCTGTGTTAAAAATTCAAACTTCAAAGCAGAAAAGTTTCTGTGAAAACTTTTCTTTCTTCTTGATGTTGGCGATAGATTTTAAGAGACTCTAACAGAGACTGTACCTCCATAATAAGGCACCCATGTGTGTCGTTTTCCTTGAAAGTCCATTCTGTCAAACTCTGAACATTGTTCCTCCCTGAAGTCTCTTGATCCAACTGGGCAGGCCTGTCACAACAAAAACAAACACTGTATATATAAATATTTCACATTGTGTTCCTATGTGCACTGAGTTTTTTTTTTTTTTTTTTTTTTTTAAGGAGTTAATGTAATTACATGAGTATTACAGGTGAGGAATGATTTGGAGGATCCTACACAGTTGTGTCCCCCATCTGTCCTGCAGGAGAGAAATTATATTATATTATATTATATTATATTATATTATATTATATTATATTATATTATATTATATTATATTATATTATATTATGTTATGTTATATTATATTATATTATATTATATTATATTATATTATATTGTATTATATTATATTATATTATATTATATTATATTATATTATATTATATTATATTATATTATATTATATTATATTATATTATATTATATTATATTATATTATATTATATTATATTATATTATATTATATTATATTATATCGTATTAGTCTCACTGTAAATGTTTAAATATCCTACCTTGAAGTAATACATCTCCTGGTTCTCATTGCCACTCCGGTGCCGCAGGTTCGGCTGCAAGGGCCATAGGGCCCAAATTCTCCCCAGTAGTCATTTACCGGCTGTGTCACCTGCCAAAATAAATGCATAAATAAAAAAATGGATATGCAGTTACATTTCTAAAATACATTGGGTTTTCGTGTTGCCTCTTTGTGCCGCCTCTGGAACACACGCTGCTTCCCTCGCACCAAATCCAAGCAACCGCAAGCCAATAAGCCAAAGTGTGAGAGCACAATGAGACTAAAATAGAAGCTGGAACTTGAAACCACAAACCAACCCCTGTGTGTTGCATGATGAATATACAAACTTACTCCTCGGCACATAATCACAACCACTTGTGTGATGACAAGAAAAGCACACTTTACTCTAAAAACTTAACGTACAAGTAAAATATTTTAGTAAAAGTGTCACTTTAGTTTTCATTTGTGAAATTGTCTTATTATCCAGAATATTTTAGACTATGATGATTTGAGGAAAACAAAATCTTATCTAGACAAATTAGTATTGTTTGTACACTTAATCCTGAATCTGAATAGGTCTGTTTAAAAGGGAACTTAAGCTGAAAGGCACCCGAATGTGGCCTTACTAACTGGGGTAGAAGACGTTCTCCCTGTGTCAATGTGGCTTTTTTCTACAGATGGATGGATGGATGGATGGATGGATGGATGGATGGATGGATGGATGGATGGATGGATGGATGGATGGATGGATGGATGGATGGATGGATGGATGGATGGATGGATGGATGGATGGATGGATGGATGGATGGATGGATGGATGGATGGATGGATGGATGGATGGATGGATGGATGGATGGATGGATGGATGGATGGATGGATGGATGTCACTGACATTAGCAGTGACAATTTTTTTTCCCCTTTAAACTGCACAATACCTTTTTACCTAGTGTGGATATAACTAGCAGTAGCAGGATGTAAGTACAAAATTACAACAAATCAAAACATATTTTATTCTACATTTTAAAACTGCATATGAAATAAAATACTCATACTACTTTATTTTAATTAAAAAAATGTAATCCATAAGTACTTGGTTTATTTTTTCAGTTTTAGTTCAAACTGTATATAGAACTATTATTGACTCAAGCATGGAGTTAGATGTAGTTAACAAAACATGTTAAAAATGAGACTTACTGTAAAAGTAGGAACAACCAGCTGCAGGATGCCAAGGACTTGCAGGATGTTCATGTTCACCAAAAGACTCTCATAAACTATCAATGAGAAAAGCTGCTAAAGAACTCAAATATCAATGCAAAGACGTGCAAGCAGGCACACGACTTTTGTCATCACTGGTTCACCATAATTTTCATCCACATCTGGAAGTGATTTATTTGGTGATGCTGAATAAATATCATTTTTACAAGAGAGAGGTGAAAATGTGTTTAAAGGTAATGTTGCCTTACCTTGTTTAAGGGAATCCTCAGCTGGTAGATCAGCACCACAGAAGAACGTGGATCTACAAGATGAAAGACGGCACAGACGCACTGATTTCTATCTTCTCATCTGGTCTGCTTGCCAAAACCGCAGCCCAGAAAGTGTCAAGTTACAACCATTCAAGAAGACTTTCTTTTTCCAGAAAAAAAGTTTTTTTTTGCTTCTGTTTTTAGCACTGTGCATATACATCCCCATACAAAGGATTTGCCCTGTTATATGCAGGATTGCATGCACCTTAAATGTTTAGAGTTTTATTTTTAAATTGAATATAATACGAAATAAACGTAAAACACAGTTTTCAAATAATTTATAATGCAAATGGATTTAACAAACCAACTTTAAATCAAAATCAAATCAAATTTTATTTGTATAGCACATTTCAGTAGCAAGGCATTTCAAAGTGCTTTACATCATAAACACAAGAACACAAAGTCATGCAACATATAATAGACAATACATTGTTACGTATTACATTTCAAATACAATTCTAAACAGGTGTGTTTTTAGTTGCGATTTAAAGGAAGTCAGGGTTTGCCCTCTGAAAACATAATTGTGTCTCTTCCCAAATGACAAATCACCTGAGGTTAGCTGTATTCTTTGGTTTAATAACATTAACCACACTCAGGCCTGACAACTGTAGAAAACACCTAAATAGTCTGACCAAACAATTTCAAACTGAAGTTAAATGTAACTAAATATCCTCTAATTTCACATTTTTATCCCCTTTTCTGCACATTTAAAATATTTTTTAATTCCTTAACATAAAAATCTCACTAAAACTTTCATATGTCATTTATTTTGAACATTTATGTTTTCTTTCAGTATTAAACAACCTGAATGTTCCCCTCTGCTGTCATCGTTTGTTAGTTTTCAGAGGTTGTAAAGTTTAATAAAAATAATAATCAAGTAAAATCTAAACAATTCCCTGCTTCCACATCCTTTACCAATACTCTGAACTACATATAGTAAACACCCATAAAGCCCCCAATAATAGTAACTGGGTTGAAAGCTTTATTTCAGTTTAAACAATTGCATATACATTCGTATAATAAAAAATATCTGATATAAAGGCTAAAAGATTTTGAAAACAAACAAATCAGAACGTTCCTCAGAAATGTAAAAGGAGATGAGAAAGTAAGTCATTGGCATCTATAAAAGTGGAAATAGTTACCCTCCAAATCATACTGCGAACCTATTTCCAAGGATGTCCTGAAACATGGCAGTGGTTGTATTATGAATGAGAGCTGCTTTGCCTCTTCAAAGCCTGGATCACCTGCCTTAATTGATGATGCCATGAATTATTCCTTCTGTCAGATAATCCTAAAGATGAGTGTTGGATCATAATTTCATGACTTTAAGCTTCCGCAAAGATGATGATCTGAAACTGCCCATCTCTGATCTAAATTAATGTTACAGTGCCGAAGTCAAAGACTGGAATTAAATTCACTTGAGATGCTGCAGCAAAAACTCAGACAGGCCGTCCAGCATTTGTAATCCTCAGACGTGGCTATAGTAAAAGAATTAAAAGTGGACCAAAATCAGTCCATGGTATCTAAAGTACTCATTGGTAACTATGGGAAACACTTGATGACAGCTGTTGCTTCCAGAGTGGTTATGAGGATTAAGGGGGAAATTCCTTTTTCAAACATAGCCAGGCTGGTTTGAATTGCTTTTTCCTCTTAATAACTAAAATTATCATTGGAAAACAAAATTTCCTATTTATTTAGATTATAAGTAAAACATTTATTGTGTGACCAAAAAAAGAAAAAGCTGTGTGGAGGAGGGAGAATACTTTTTTATAATGCTGCTATCATCGAAAATTTAATTCAACAGGGTTCTTCACACCAAATGACTTCTGACACCTAACATTTATTGGTTACACATATACTTGTTGCAGATTGAACAGCAATCACTGGATATATTATGAAACCCATCTTAGAAAAATAAAGTAAAATATAGCCGTAACTTTCCATTGCTTCCCATTGATTTATTCCTTACTGTTTTTTACAGCCCATTCTGACCACTGATTGTCCCTTTTGCACATCTCAAAACCACTAAACACAGCCCATTAAGTCACAGCAGTGGAGCTGGGGGAGGAAAACATTGCTTTTATGCTTTGGTTAGTTTATTTTAGTTGGAAACCGCAGGGACGCAGTCTGAAACATATATCAAGGGAAGGCAAAAGACAGCAACATTCTTGTGTCTTTCTGGCTTAAAAACATTGAATGCAAATTTTTACATCTCCAAAACTATCAAGACATATTACTTACTGAAGCAAATTATGTTTATGTAGCACAAACTGGGCCAAAGTGAAGTCTGAACTTCAAATGTATATCTGAGTACAAAGCAGTTGCAATGGCACAAAAAATTGTATGATGGTGTTTACAACAAATGTATGATTTATTACTATTGCAGCTTTCTATAAATAACATTTATTTTTAAAGACTTAAATTGATTGTCACTCATTGTGGTTGTCAGATATAAACTAAAAGCAACAATTTTCACTTCAAACAAGCCTTACTTCACATGTCAGCAACTCAAAAATTGCGTCTCACACAGTCAGAGTCCAAACCACCACCCCACACAGTGCATTCATCCCACAACTGAAAACAGGGTTCATCCCTTCCGCTGTCTCAAAACTGCCGGCTCAGTCTCTGCGTTTCCTTCTCCTTGGCTTCAAAGGCGCTCTTGGTGCCTAACAGTTCCTCCACCGAGTCCACTATGTCCTGCATTTCCCGGGCCATTTCAGCGTAGCTCTCCTTCAGCTCCTCCTGCTGCTGCTTCAGATCTGCCGTTGCCTGCATCAGCTCCGAGGCCTGAAAGCTGCACTGGTTCCTGAGGTCTTCCACATCCGTCAGCAGCGTCTCCATGCTCTTCAGCACCTGCTCCAGACGGTCTGCGGCCAACTCGAACTCTGACGTGTCCTGGAAAAGGGTGTCGAAGTTGGAGTTTTCCAGTGACTCCAGCTTGATTTCAGGCTCTGAATCCTCCTTTGTCTCTTCCTTCCTTTCTTTCTCTTCCTTCTCTTCCTTCTCATTTTCCTCTGATTTTGACACTTTCTCCATGATCCTCCTGATGTATAAACTCTCAACCAACCAACAGGGCAGTCAAATTTCACCAAAACAGATATCTGTAAATAAAAGGAATCATTTAGCTTAAAAGGAAAACAGTGAAATAAATACTGAAAAGCAACGTAAAGTAGCAGGACTGCTTCTGCTCCCTTACACTCTATTAGATAGTGAGGAGTTTATCCCCTTACAGAGTGGGGTAAAGAGGCCATTCTGTGTAATCTCATTTTCTTCTGCACCTGCGTGTTCAGTGTATTTGTGCACAGGTGTCAGTGTATTTCTGTCCAACTGCTCGTTCACTGCCTTGCAAAAGAACCATAATCCAGTTTTGGGCAGCGGGCCCAAGCAATGCCCCTACTGGGGCTCTGATGAGCAGCAGGCTGTACGTGAGATTACGTAGCATCTCCGACCTGCCTGACCGCTTTTACTGTCTGAGGGGAAAGATTAGCTCTGTCCTCGTAGAGCTACCTCTGACTGGTCTTAGGACACACACACACACACACACACACCCACACACCCCCACACACACACACACACACACACACACACACGCACACACACACAACATGCAGCGACCTCTGCTCCACTGTGAGGATAATTTCTGTGAACTGTGGAGGAATTACAGTCACATTACTTTGTGTTACAGGTATTTTGAGTGTCCAAAAGCATTCTCCTGGAATATTTTCACCTTTTGCCACAAAGCCGTCACAAACTTCCATATTTGGCAGCATATTGCCTGTTTTTTCCTTGTCATAGTTATGTATCCTAATAGAACACACTGCAGTTTGAGATTTTAATGGCAAATAAAAAAAACAGTAAAAAAAATAAACAATTAAAAAAGTTCAGGAGTTAAAAAGGACACACCAAGACCTCTTACATATTTTTAAATCCTCAAAAATTACATCTGAGTATTTTTAATTTTCTGTTCTCCATCAATATTTTCAAAAACAGGAACAATGGAGCACAGGGTTTCTTCAGTCAAACAGAGCTTAATAAATATAAGATAGAAGTTTTAAAATAGATTTTTGTGCAAAATATATTTATATTAACTCTACTTACTACCATTATAAGAAAACTGAGAAAACTTTTTAGATTGTACAATCCGGAGTACTTTACTTGCTCAAAGCATGAATCTGTCAAACAAGAAAAACAAACTGCTGCAATATTTGATCACGTGTCCTAAAACCATTTAAAGAGCCAGCAAAAGAAGCTGCTCTTTAAATGGCTGTAAAGATAACGAGTTTACATGATGAGCTCACCTCCCCAAAACTCTTATCAAAGCAATACAACTTGCTCTAAAGAGGCCAACGCCAGGGGAAACGCTTCTTAATCTCCAAGTGGCTCAAAATACAGACATTTAAGTCTTAGTTATGTCAAAAGGAATAATTAATTTGCGACAAAAGTTTTGGTTCCACTGAATATTATTCACTGAAAACAGGGATATTGTTTGTGTAAGATTTAAAAAGTTGAGTCCATTTTAAATATTACTGTTATATAATGCAATCCAGAAGAAAGAACTTTTTTTTTTTTTTTACAAGGAAATAGTTCTAGTAATGAGACAGTGATGGCCTATATATCTCACAAATGGACAGGTTTACCTGACATGATCAAACTTCGACAAAACATCACACACTACCTATTATTAGTTGTCCTATTTGACTGAGCAATAGTAATAAACATTTTTTACTAAAAGACCTCCACTGCGCTTTTTAATGTTTCTTTCTGTTATATTGAAAATCTAGAATTATAAAATATATTTTCAGACAAACCAAAATTAAGTCAATCACCTCTTACTGGTTTCCGATGCTAATGATGAGCAACCAAGGTCAACCCTCAGAGTGAAAGTGTTGTCAGTGAATGAAGCAGCTGACTCTCTTCTCTCTCTCTCTCTCTCTCTCTGTCTCACTCTTGCTCGCTCTCTCTTTCTCTCTCTTCCCCGTCTCTCTCTCTTACTTTTCCTCTCTTCTCTTAAAATGAACCCCAACATTCGTCCTCCCCCAAAAACATGTTTACATTTTTATTAACTTACATAAATGTTTAAAAATATGTTTTCACTTTATTGTGGCAATGAAAATCACAAATATACATACTTAAATTGTCTTATATGTAGGTTGATAAAATGTGGAAAGCAATGTGGGATGTGAGTACTTTCTGGAAAACTATTTAACACTGGTAGTTCTTTGAAATTATAGGCCCCTTCCTGAAGAGACATGATTCATTTTACAGCAAACCAAATGATGAATACTAAATATTTTTGTACAGTATTCATTGATTTGATGCCACTGAGAGACAATAAAATGCATCATGTTATGAGCATCTTATCTGAATTTCAGCCCAACCGTTTTGCAGTTCATTAACGTTTCCACGTGGGGGCGCCCTAAGGACTCCTAACTTTCAATGCTTCTCCAAACTGTTCAAGGAGATTTCTGAGGGCAGGCGTTTCCACTTGAATAAAACACACTACCTGCTGTTATTTTTTTATTTATTTTTTCTTGCTTGTGTGTATTTTCTTTACCTAACATTGTGGGTGTGAATATGAATATTTAAAACAAAGTAAAGATCGGTTGGCAGCAGCAAACTCTCCAAGAGGCCATGCCCAAGCTTCATGAGCCTCAACATGTGTAACTATTTAAGTGTCAACATGTGGATTCCTGTGTGCTTCTGTGTATTGAGAATGCTGTGTGGGGGTTCAGGGGTATGGATTATTTCGCTTGGAGTCTTATTCAGAGCGGCCAATCAAGCGTGAGGCACAGAGGAGAAAGGGGGCATTGTTGCAGCCTCAGAAAATAGATTCAATCACAGAGTCTCAACAGGAACACGCTTCCAACAACTGCCTGACCCTTTAAACTCATGACTTTTCTTTGTAGCTCTGTGAATGTATCTATCAATTCACTTGCTGTTTGAAATTATATGTGGTTTGTGTTAGTTGTGCAAGAATCAAAATAGGCCAAAGCTTGTTTGACAAGATTACTTGGTTTCTGCTTCTGGTTTTAAACTCAAAATGTAACCATATGAATACTGGATGAATTATCACCCAGATGCTCATAGGCTCTCCTCTGGAGTCTCAAGTCGATGAGAGAGTTGCTGCAGTTCCTTTCTCCTCATGACTGTTTCTAGTGTCAACTGGGAATACATGTGCCCAAGATTTATGAATGTCCATTTGCTGTTGTTGAGGGGATTGTGGTCAATACTTGAGACATGAAGTTATTGATGGGGTCATTTCTAAAGGGACACAGAGCAAGGACTTGCATCTCACTGAAGTAGGTCATTTTAATAGGAATGAGGGCTCGGGATTGCAGGTTTGCTCAACAAAATATGTATGTGTACATATAAATATACAAAACCTGGACACTTAACAAAAAATGTGAACTGCTATGGTTGAGAAGGCCAAAACAAGAGCATCTCTATCCTCGATAACGGCAGTTCTGCAAAACCATAGTCTTTCAACTCATTCCAGCTGCCCACATGGATGACTCAACCATCTTTTAGAAAAAGGAAACATTTAAATGGTCAAAGGACACAAAGACGAAGGTAACTGGTCACAGTGTTGAAAGTATTTTTGGAGGATCCAAGAGGGGCTTTCAAAGAACTCCACACTTCTGCTATGGTGGCAGAATCATGATGAAGGATTATACTGGTACTAGGACGAAGTGGATGAAATTCAGCAACTTGTTAATTAGAGGCATTCATGTTTAGTTCATTTATTAATTAGTTTATCAAGGCATTAAAAAGGATTCACCATAGTAATATATCTAAGGTAAGTGCTTAAAAAGTTTCAACCTTTACATCAAGATTGGTTTCCTTAAGATGTTGCAGTTTCCAGTAAATGGGTGGGATCCTTGGTCTCGTCCCTTCAGGGAAGTAGGAGTGCATGAATTTCTAATGCCTCAGTCAGACCTCCCTTGCTTTGATTTAAAGCCAGAGCGCTTCCTCACTGCTGAGAAAGAAATAACAATGTGCTTTTTTTTCCTGCACTTTGCACTGAAACCAGATTCTTACAAAATGTTGCTTGAGGCGGAGGACTTTAAATATTTACTTCCAGAACAGAACCAGATTGGGTAAAATGTGTGATTTATGGCATGCAATTTTGGCAGCTGCCGAAAACAAAATAAGTTGACTCATTTTACTGGTATGGTATCACTTGTGTTGCTTGGTTTCTTGGCTATGAATGCAGTCTTTTAAACTCTGTCTAACAATGCGGCCTGGTCGGCAGACTATGTGAGAGGGAATCGGAGACAGGAGAGCTGATCCAGATCGAAAAACCTTGGATGATACTAGAAGTTTCCTTGTTCCACTCCTGAGCGGAATGCATTAAGCAGATCCTCTGATGACTCGTGCCTTTTATAAATGTCTAATGTGTCCAGAGTGTCTGTCGAGTGAGACATTCGGGCCTGTTCGTGATAAGTGATACATCTGACACTGATCTGCTCACCAGCCCAGAGCGCTTCATTGTTTGGGTCCCCTGCTGCACCTGATCCGAACTGTTTTCCAGAACTGAACTCCCTTTACAGAGCTTTGATTGTTTCATATTCCTTCCACATTCTTGGGCATGTAGCCTGTCCTTTGTGTACACTTCAGCACATATGCAGTCGCACATTGCAGTAACATTCACCTCAAATCCTTTTTTTTTTTCTTTCTCAAAAAGAGGTAACAGGATCTTCAACACATACAGTGATGTGGATTACTCAGGAACTGGCCCCCCAAAAACGAAGGAATAAAAATGGGAAAACTGGATTTTTAATTTCCTTTAAAATCTTCTGTGCTCCACTAATCCATGTGTAATGCAGACTTCATGCTATATTTGCTCAATAAATTGCTGCTTCATATACCAGGGAGCAGTAAGTCCTATGAGCAGAGACTTGAAAAGCTTATGAAAGTGATTTCCACATTTTTCTTAAAAAGCATTATGAAGTCTCATTTAGCATGCTCTGAACAACAATGTGATTCAAAAGCTCTCTAAAATATTTGTTCTAACCACAAAAGTAAACCTCTAATGTGTTTCTCTGCACAATATTTTGTTTGATATAAACACCTGTGTTTTCTTTTGATACAATTTTTGGATATACTGCAATGTATCTGCCAGGACCTCATTTACCCAAATCAGGCAGGGAAATGGGTTTTGGACACCAGGGAAATCTGGTATGCCTCTGCTGCTCTCACAGCTAATTTGAGTGTGAACTAATTGGATGGCTAACTTTAGCAAAGGGACAGCCTAGTTCCATCCATCCGCTATCAACAGAGTACGGAGGTGGGGATGGAGAGGAGCATGCTGGTGATGTCCGAGCTCATTCCACAATGTTTCAGCAATAACTTTTATCTGGGAAGCCTGTGTCCAGATCCAGAGTTAGAGTTAGTGTCTAGTTTATTCCTATACATTTTATCCTGGTAAATAAAATAAAGAAATCCTCTGAAACCCTGATTGATCGAGACACACAGCACTTTTGAAATGTTAATTGTATGAACGGTGTCCTCTTTGTGGCAGATGAAAAAAAAGTTTGACAAAATTGAACCAGACATTCACAGATCATTTTAAGTTCAGGATGAGAAACTAACAGCTTCTCATTTGCAGCTGACCCCACAACTGCCTCTATCTTGTCTTTGTGTTGCTTCAAAGGTCTTGTCTCTCATAATGCATGTGTGCTGAGGTTAAGTGGGTGAATGGGGCTGTTTTCTTCTCTGACTCATGTGCTTGTGAAGTAAAAGGAAGATGTATGGATAAAGATGAAGACTGTAGGAAACTATGGGTCATGTTTCTGAGACTCACTGATCACATATGAGTAACAGCTGGAGAAAACATGGAGCACATTAGGACCCCTGTTACTAATATATGTGTATATTCTTCCTTAATTATAATCTTGATTCTAAGATTTTGAGTCAGGGTAAATTACTATAACTGCTCACTCTCAGGCCTGTTTTATACATATGAAACCAGGATAGTGAAACTCTTGAAATCAAATTCTGTCTTATGTTTGGTGTAGCAGTAGCCATCTGGCAACTGCTTTGAAACTTTTCTAGATGTACCTCTGACACTCACACAGAAAATGACTGATCTGGATCCATTCGACTAACTGATATCACTTCAAAGTAAAAGAAGCTTTAAACAAAATCCTGCTAATGCAATCATTTTTAAAAAATGTATTATGTTGAAGATTTTTTGCTTGTTTTTGATAAATTGCCTGAAGGAAGACGAAAATTTCTCTGGGTGCCACAATACCTGTGGGGTTTAAATATTGCACCCCATATGTGGATTCGGGGCTCAGTGGGAATGCTTACTTTAAACAACCAGCACTATTGTCAAAAATGTTGGTGATGGCCACACTTCTGACTCGGTGTCAGTGAGAAGAAGAAAGTGAATAAATGGAACTGAAAAAATAGAAATGTGGATCTATTTTTACATTCCCTTGACAGCTGGCATTTTTCAGGATAATTATTTCAGTGGATTCTTATCAGGTCTAGACAACTTTTACACAGGTTAGTTATGTAACTTTAAAAAAAAAGAAGAAAATCATTAGTACTTGGTGCATTTTTCTTCTATGAACAAAGTGATTTGTCAAAATGCTCACTCCAGAAGGTCAGACGCTAATGGATTAAGTGCCTGCGGGTTTGTCTGTGCTCCTACCATGCTAACACCTTATTACATCACACCAAAAGGCAGAAATCTTTTCCATTACCTCTTTTCTATCGAATGGGATCTGTGAGCTCGCATGGGAGGAAATCTGAATGTTAAATACTGATAAAGCATGTTCTGAATATTATCTGATTGTTTTCTTGATGTGTACCATGACATCTGCTTGATCTGCCGGCAGCACCTTTCAAACACCAGCTCATTCTCATAATGCTGAGTTTTTCGTGATATAGTAAGATGCAATGTGTTTCCA